TACTGCTCTCAAAATGAAGCCAAGTTCTCAGATTTGGTGCACAGTGGAGCCGCCTAGAGATGTTCTAAGCCCCACTCTCAGAAATTCTGATTTCATTGGTCTAAGGTGAGGCCTGGGAGCACCGTGGCTCTGTAGGATAAGCACTCAACTACAAACTCCAAGTTCACTGGTTTGAGCCCACCAACTGCTCTGTAGGAGAAGGATGAGACTTTCTGCTTCTGCAAAGATTTAAAGCCTCACAAGCCCTATGCAGGGTCGCTGAGTCAGAACCAACTTGACAGTACTTAACAAAAATAAGGTGAGGCCTGGGCATCAGGAATTTTTTTTAAGTTCCCTAAGTGATTCTAATGTGTCACCAAGGTTGAGAACTGCTTTCCAAGCAGAAGGCCTTGAATTTCCCTTCCCTCTTCCTGAGTTGGGTCCCCCACATAGCCTGCTCACATCCATTGACGAGTCACAGATGGTGAGGTGGACCTAGGGGTTTAACTAAGGGATGTTGTCATTATCAGAGATAGTATACACACAGCGAAATGGTGACAAAGACCAAGGCCAGGCCACCTTTCTGGGGACAAGATCCCGAGATTCCCCCCAAAGGTTCTGGGCACCCAGCCGTTCCTGTTGAGCGGTCTATCTAAAAGCCCCTAGAGGTCAGCTGTTGTCCCCTCAGGCCAGCCCTCTTGCAGGCCTCCTTTACACAAGATGGGCCAGCAGAGACTCCGATCTATCCGCCTTGGTCCGGTCATTTCTTTGCTTTTTATCAAGGCTACCTGGATCACTTTCCCCTGATAATGGTAAAAGCTAGAATCAGACAGACTTGGGCTCATGTTTCTGCTCTGTTTCTTGCATGGTATGTGTCTAATAGGAGTCCCTGGGTGTTGCAAATGGTTAACAGGCTCAGCTGCAACTCAGAAGTTGAAAGTTCGAGCCCACCCAGAGGCACCTCAGAAGAAAGGCCTGATGATCTACACCTGGGGAAGACAAGCCACTGAAAACCCTGGAGCACAGCTCTACTCTGTCTGACACACTACACGGAATCACCAACTCAAAAGCATCTGGAAATGTGACCTTTAGCCCTCACGTTCCTTGTCTGTAGAGTAGGTCTTAGAATAATGCTTACCCCACTGGATTGTGAGGACAAAAGGCTATGTACACACAGGCTTAGCACATGCTAGAACTGTCTGGCCTGCCAGCTGTTTCCTAGCCCTGAACTGACTCTAGGAGGCGAACCGAACAAGAGATTAGTAGGTATTGCGGGCCCACACAGCACACATGGCATGGCAGTGGAAGTCGTGTCGAGGTGCCAAAGTGGCTGGGCAGCCAGGCCACAATCTGTGTCCTTCTGACTTGGCAGACGTCCTACTCCATGCAGGCTGCCACCCACATTATTATGTCACTTACATCTGTCCATTTATTGCTTTGGGAGTAAAGTTAAAGCATCACATCTGTTGGCTTTGCCCCTGGTCTCCACTAGCTAGCTCACCACCTCCCTTCCTACACACACACGTACACGCACATGCTCACCTCACTTACATGTTCTGGTGGCAACCAAGATAGCCTCACCTGTTAGCTACAAACACCCGGTACTCCTGCCCTCAGACTTATGGGAAGATCCAGAGTGTTGTCCCCCATCGCCTGCCCCAGATCCCAGAGCCCAGCCAGAGGAGCCCACGCTCACACAGACATTTACCACGTGCTTACGGAGCACTCAACAGGTCCTGAGCTGGGTGAGGTCCAGATGAAAGGCAGCTCCTCATAGTCAAGCAGAAGGTAACCACACCACCCAAGGAGATAGGGAGCAGAGAGGAGGTGTACCTCATGACGCCTGGGTTATTATCATGGGAGACTTCCTGGAGGAAGCAACACCTTACCAGTTTTTTAAGAGTAAGCCAGCCATGAGTACCGTTGGTGGAACAGGGTATTCTGAATCAAACTTCTAAGATGAGAGAGCCCGGGAAACTGTGCAGGAGCTGCGAGGAACTTATAGAGTTGATGCCACGTGTGCCAGAGATGGGGTGAGGGGAGGCCTCCAACCGAGGACCTAAGGAATCCAAGGTCTGTAACAAGGGCAGGGCAAGGCATGACTCCATCTAATGGGCCTGCCCTCAAAGCCTGCGGGTGGGCCTAGACTACCCACAACGTAAACTCCTGAGGGACTAGAATTCCGTCTGGGCTACACCCCACACCACTTCAGTCTGGTACCAGGAGCCTGCTGTTTTCCTATAATGGCACCAACCATCCGGTCACACACTGGAGAGCCACCACACACAGCTCTCCTCTGCCCCTGGTTGGGGGGGGGGCGCTCAGGGCCACTACAGGGCAGGGCATGATTCATTCTCCCGGTCACGGGTGATGCTTCCAGAACACTGAGAAGGCTTTGTCCCAGCCAAACCCAGGGCCTTCTGGGGATAGTCAAAGGAGGACGGGGGGTGGGGGGTACACACAGAAGAAGAAGATATTTCTGGCAGGGATGAGAGGGTGAGAGGAGGTAGGGGAGGGACTGTTTTGAGGGGACAGGGGAGGGCATTTCCTGTTCAGACGCCCAGCAAACCAGCCCCTAGTCCCTAAGTCTTCCCAGGGCCTTCAAGAACAGGAGGCAAATAACCAATGAAGCAGCCCCCTTTTATTCATGAGCAGTAAGCCCACCACCAGGAACACAGATTGTTATGCACTCCCCAGTCTCTAGGCCAGTGCTCTTGTGTAGAACCTTCTGCAACCATGAAAACATTTTTTCTACACTGTCCACTTAGGGCTACTGAGCACTTGAAACGTGGCTAATGCAGGAGAGGAAATGCAACTGTCCTTTACACGGAGGCAAAGTCACATGGCTCTGTGTAGCCAGTGGCTGCCACACTGTCAGAACTGTCCTGGTTTGGCTCAGAAGCCAACTCTGGGCTCTGGCAGGAAGAGCAAGTGGCAGAAAGAGCCGCTGGCATCACCAGGCCCTGCCCCAGAGCACCAGCAGCTGCAGCTGATGGAGAGGGTGCATCTCAGAGTGGGGGCACTCCCCGGGCGCGCCGGATGAGATTGGCCAACCGCTTGGCCAGGCCACCTTTGCTGGGCTCCTCGATGTGGAAGGTACGGGTGAGGAGATTGTAGAAGGAGCCATAACACACAGCCACCACAGTGCACGTGAGGCAGATGACATTGTAGGGCATGCTGAAGTCTGGCGTGGGCAGGCTCACCAGCAGCGGCTCCGTGTAAAGTCTCACAAAGTAGCTGGAGTCATCGGAGATGGGGAATCTAGGGATAAGGGAAGGAGAGGTGTGGCAGGGCCGGGCTGCGGCCCCCATCGCACCCACACCAGGCCCAGCTGCGTGGGGTCAATTCACTCTGGAAAAGGTTTTCTATGTTTTCCTAGTCTCAAAGCCTTTCCAACCCAAACCTGCTATCGTCAGTTGATTCAGATCCCTGACAATGCCGTGTGTTTGAGGAGAACAGTGCTGCACACACTTCTCAGTGGATGGGATCTGACATGACTGGGTGGATTCAAACTGATAACCATTAGGTGGTGATGTGCCAAGGAGTCACTTCCGACCCATAGTGACCCTGTACAGTGTTTCCGAGGCTCATCTTTCTCCCATGGAACAGCTGGTAGTTTCGAACAGCTGACCTTACGGTTCGCAGCCCAATTCGTAAGGTTAGTAGCAAACTGCAAACCATTTGAGCCATCCAGGGACCCCAGCTTTTTAACAGGAGATGGCAGTACAGAAACACGATCAAAGGAGGGCAGCTGTGGCTGAGGTGGAGAACACGGGTCCTGCCTTCACTTGGTGGCCTCTTCTTGCCTTCTGGTCTCAGCCTAAATGCCATCTCTTCAGATAAGCCTTCCTGGGTACCCCTCTATTTTATCTCCCCAACCTCAGGAAACCCTAGAAAAAAAATCTCCCCTCTAAACTGTAAACATCCAGAGGACAGGGGCAACTCTACGTGCATCGCTGCTTTCTAAAGCACTTGGCATTGCAAAAGGGCTCAATTAAATGTAGCACTGTACAATAAGCACTGGACTGCTAATCACAAGGTTAGAGGTACAAATCCACCAGCCGCTCCTTGGAAACCCTATACAGGGTCGCTATGAGTTGGAACCGACTTGACGACGCTTATAAACAAGAGAATCGGGCCGGAGGAAAGGCCTGATGATCTGCTCTTGTGAAAACTGCGGCCTCGAAAGCCCTGAGGGCGGTTCTGCCCGGTCCTCTAGGGTCACTGTGATTCTGAGCCAAGTCAATGGCACCCAACCACGACACAAGCATCGGTGGGTAAGTGTAAGCTCCCAGCACTGCTGGTCCACTCGTCACTGCTCTAGCTGGATTTACCAATTCCAGCTCAGAACTAGTCAGTACAGGGTTTCCGAAGCTATAGGTCTTTAGAATCATTCTAGAAAGCCTTTGGAAACATCATAGCTTACGCACACCTTCATGAGCTTTGAGTCAAAGCTACCCGGTACTTTAGGAGAGGCAAGCTAGCCTGCAGGAACCTGCTCCTCTGTAAACGTCCTGCCCAGACCAGGAGGGCTATATGGTCAGAGAAAACAGCTGCCATCAAATTGGTGGCTTCATGTTTGTCCGAGCATAGCTGATTTTGTGAAGTACATTGCCAGCCCTTTCTTGCAACATGCAGGATTTGAACCTTCAACCTTTCAGTTAGCAGCTGAGTGCGTTAGCTGTTTGCACCACTCAGGGAGCAATATGAGAAGGGTGGGATCATACTCACAGGGTGTTGAAGAGGGGACCCTTTTCCCAGTCCACTGGGTTGGTGGCCACTATGCTGGGCACAAGAGCGCTGAGGACCGATGGGCTGCAAAGAAGTGGACAGATGGCCCATGATTCTCATCAGCTTCTCCACCGTGGGGTAAGTGGCAGAGAGGGTGGACCAGGAGGGGGGCATACCTGACATAGAAGCCGTGGTTGGGATCCGGGGTGTACTCTGTCCACCTGAGGAGCGCCCGCTCAAACTGGATGGAGACCTTGGTGACGGAGCTGGCTGGCAGCTGAACCAGCATCTCTAGGAGGTGGGGCTGGAGCCGGTCCTGGGCAGGCTGGTAGTGGATGTAACCTGAAACACAGGAAAGGGTCAGCCACATCTTCTTCTGGGGGTCAGACTGCCCAGGCCTTCCAGTCCCTCCAGCTTGCCTTGGGGCTGTGAGCTGGGGGCTTTTGATCCCGGGAGTCAGCAGGCCCAGGGATGGGAGGAAAGGATGCTGTCAAGAGTGCCACAAAGCACAAATCAACCTTCACATCGCCACCCCCGGACCACCACCAAGTGAGGAGACCCAACAGCAAGTGCTGAAGCACCCGGGAAGCTTTCCTGGGGCCGGAATCTCGTCAAGCTTCTCTACCTAACCAGCGGCATACAAGTATAGGGAGGACCGGGGAACATGCTCAACGGCAGCGGAAGGACAAAGCCAGGATCAGGAAGATTCTGTGCAACACCGGGCGCAGCTTTTCAACAGGGAAACGGCATGAAAACAATACAGTGAAGAAGTGGCCATTGTGACAGTAAAAGACAGACATCAGGCGAATGCAACGTGACGACCTTGTTTAGAGCCCGATTCACAGCCAACAACTGCAGCAAGTTACTTTTAAGGCCCTGAGAATGGGGCGGGCCGGTGAGAAGATGGCATGATTGCAGTCTTTAAAGGCCTTATACTTACTAAAGATCTAGACTGAGATCATTAAAGGAGAACTGACGCATGGTCTGGTATTTATTTTAAAGTACTCCCATAAAGAGTAATTCACTGGCTCGAGGGTACTGGTGTTGGTGTTAAGTACTGTTGAGTCAGTTTGGACTCATAGTGACCTTGTATAGGGTTTCTGAGGACCGGCTGGTGGGTAGACACATATTAATTCAGGTGACAGGGAGGCCAATATACAAGAGGGAGGTAGGCAGCAGAATGATGAAGACAGGTGAAGACACAGGGAGGTTCAAGGGCTAAAGAGGATACAGGTAAATAGTGATAGATACACAACCTTGGCACAAGAGTGTTCTGCAGGTAGATACATGGACAGAGACACAGGCTGAACAAGTATGGGAGGGAGACTGGGAGGATACCCACAAATCTATAAGGGTTTGAAAGAGGGTATCTGTATGTTGCTGCAAACACAACTATGTATGTGGCAGAGCATTGTTGTTAAGTGCCGTCGAGTCAGTTCCAACACAGAGTGGGCACAATGATGAAAACCTTCTTCAGCTGTTATTAAACATCTTAAGGCAAAGTGTCTGGACCTGGGTACTCAGGACCAGAGTCTCAGGGGGCACAATGGTCAATAGGCATAACAAAGAATGTTCTACATCCTACTCTGGTGAGTGGCATCTGGGATCTTAAAGGCTCATGAGTGGACATCCAAGGTGCAACTATTGGTCTTTCCACGTGTGGAAGAAAGAGTGATGAAAATTCAAGCTGTATGTAATCAATTAGCCTAACAGACTAATGGAACATTTGAACATCACTACCAACTGCTCTGAAAGGGATTACATTAGAACGTTCATGATAGAGTGGGAAAAAATGAGGAATAAAATTAAAAAAAAAAAACCAAAAAGCTGGGCTTACTGGTCAGAAAGAGACTGGAGACTGGAGGGACCTGAGACTATGACCCTCGACCACCCTTCAGGTCTGGAAAGGGGCTCACCCTCATGGCCCAGCTGTCAGCCAACCAGTAGATAGGTCCATAGGGAGAACAACACATAAGGTCTGCTCACCATGGAGCGATCAACCATTCAAGATCAACAGGGCAACATTTACCAAAGGACCAACTTGAGAAAGGATGGGAAGGTGGGTGGAATGGAGATAGGAAGCACAGGGAGGAAGTGGGATCACTGTTGCTGCAGGGAGGGGACTGCAATCATTGAGATGAAACAGAGTGTAGGATATGTTGAATGCTGATTATATTGTCTATTAACCTTCACTCAATTCACAATGAAAAGTCAAAAAATAAAATACTTCCGCAGTCCCCACTGAATAGTTTACATCTTGTCTAGATGGGTCTAGTGAAAAGAGATGGGGATAACATTCTGATGATTCAACAGAGAGAAATTGTTATCATGACTAATTGCAACTGCCACAACTGTAAAGGTAGAAGTTTTGTAACAAAAACAGCGGAGTAGTTCATCTTAATGGTCCAGTAACAGAGGACCCTAGGACCATTAAAGGAGAAGAGCATAAGCGGACTGCAGGACCTTATCCAGAGAAGCAGCGACACCAGAGATGGAGGCAGAGATGAGGACATGGAGAGAGGGAGCAGCTGAGGACTCTCGACTCATGGAAAGAGAGGGACTGGGTGCTGGTGGCCAGAAGGCAGGCTTGCAGAATGTGTCCTTTGGTTGTTTAAATTATTATATATTCCTGAGTGTTTTTGTGTACACCTCCCTACCCACCCAAAAACAAAACAAATCTCCCCCCACAAAAAACTGAGGGAATGGAAGCATATAATGTTTGTTTCAATGACGATGCGTGGAGATTGTAATCATTGCAATGAAATGATGGTGTAAAGCCAATGTTCTCCTATGTAAACTAACACTCAGTTACAATAAAAAAAAAAAAAACAAAAAAAACATACCATATCAGAAAAAAGAAAAAATACTCCCACAGAGATGTTGAATTAGTGACTATGTATATTCTCAATAACAAAACATAAATTTAGCAATTAAAAATGTATTAAAATAAAACAGTCCCACAGGACTGATGCAATGAAATGCAGATGGGTCTCTTGTGATACAACAGTGAATAATTGTTATCAGGACTGATTGTGAGGGTCAGAAATGTAAAGGTAGACATTTTATAGCAAGGAGGGGAGTGATTAACTTTTCAGTCTAGGAGCGGAGGTCCCTAGGACCCTCAAGGGAGAACAGCGGAGAGCAGGACCCTACCCAGAGAAGCAGTGATGCCTGAAATGGAGGCAGAGATGATGACATGGAGCGTTGGAGCAGCTGGAGACTTTAGATCCAGAGAGGGAGAGCAACTGTGTGCTGATGACCCGGAGGGTATGGAGGGCAGGAATGCAGGGTATACCCTTTGGTTGGTTGATGATGCATGGAGGGGATTGTAACCATGGCAATGAGA